CTGAGCGTTTACATCATTATTATACGGTGAGAGTGAGGAGAGTTTTGGCTCGAGCATTGGTCATTGTCGTGAATTTGTAAGTTTCCAGTGATCGTTCCTGCCATACTTGCAGGAGAGGACTCGGTTGAGGGTTGTTTGGGGCCTGGTGGAGGGAATGTTGTGAGTCAGCTTGAGACTCTTCAAACATGGGTACACTGCTGCTGGCACAAGCACAATTCTTATTCTCGCCCAATAGTGGTGATCTGAATACAGACAGAATGAGCTAAGAAAAATTAGGTAAGGCTTTCCTACTAGTGAAATATACCTGCCAAAATTGAAAATTCATAAGCCATATGGGAGAAAGCTCTGGTTTGGGGGAGGGAGGGGGAATCCTGGGGCTCAACCCTAGGTGGATGAACTGACCGACCTCAACAGGAATTTACACATTTGCCGACCAAACAAATGAGTGTCCACCCCCAAAAACCAACTATACAAAAACCAACATTTCTTTTGGCGACAAACATGTTTGGTCGCGGAATGTGACAATTGGCGACCAAAATTTTTTGGTCGTGGAATGTTACAATTGGCGACTCTTGCTGTTTTTCTTTTTCCCCCAAAATTTGAAAAATGTGTTATACATTTTTGATGTTTCATCTATACCACTTCAAAATGGTTTTAAAATGACCTTTCAGGAAATGGAATTGATGTACCAGCTTATCAAGATCTTGTTATGTAACTTCTTAAAATTATAGCTTGATATTCCCACAATAATTACTGCAAAAACCTCATATAGCTGCTTTGATTACTCCCTTTTTTGATTTCGCTTTCAACAGACTTTTTAGAAGGTACACAGTTTAATGATTTGCTCACCAATAAATGGGTTTTTGTTCCACTTCTGTTGTTCAATGGAGTTGGGTTTACAATACCTGTATGTTTTCTCACAGGTATGATTCCAGAAATTCCATTTTAGAGTGGTCCATACTTCTCATTGATAACTCAAACTGCAGGTCAGCATATGATGATGTTTCTTTTATTTAAAAACTAAAATTTATTGTGCATTCTACAATTTGTAGTGCTTTGGTTTCTAACTTCATTTTGGAACACTTGGCAGTGGATCTATGGAGTTTGTTGTCCCTCCAGTAGATGCATCAGTCTTTTTCCCGATTTCTGTGCGTTTTACTGCTGCAAGCACATTCAGTGAACTAAAGGTTTACTTCTCTTTTTCCATTTACAGTTGATTCATTCAATTTCTCAGCCAATAATAATGGTGCTGGTGTTGTACTTAATTTTGGTTGACATTTATATGCATCTATAACGTCTGCAACATAGACTTTTAATAAGAATGAAATGCACCTTTCTTGAATGGTGAACTTGTATTAGAGTAGATCAGAAGGTAGCTGCAAAGTTGCACTAATTTAAAGCGAAGAACTCTTTAAATGTTTATTCTGATTTATGACTTCAATTGATGTTTAATTCAGTTTCATTTTGCATGAAACTGGTTCAAATTTCCAACTCATCCGAAAATGGTAGTCAGCAGAAATTGGAGAAATCGTCTTGTTTGCCATTATATGACAGATCTACAACATGCCTGGAATAGGGATTATGCGATTGTTTTGCTTTTGATAGATCTTGAAACCTTTCTGATATAGGGTATGTACGTGCTCAGTAATGTGGCATCTGGCAATGAATGCCACAAGGAAGCAGTCATGGACAAACTTTTCCCACAAATAGGTGACAACATCCAATCAATTATGATCAAGCTTTTGCAGAGTAATGACAGCAGGTTACGCACAGCTTGTGTCTGGACTGTCCTAAATCTCACCTTTCCAAGTAGTCCTGGTGCACACAGTCGGGTTGCAAAATTACAGAATGCCTGCATAACTTCTCAATTAAAGGATATGGTCAATGATCCTTGCCTCGATGTAAAAGTGGTGATTTTTTCTTATCTTATTTCAAACGGTTTTTTACTTCTTCAACTCATTAGCTGAAATTATATGATTCTTTCCAATTAATGTATATACGGTCATTTGGTTAGATAGTATAATTGTGAAACTACGAAAATGAGCTTCATAAAGAATTATACTAGACTGTTATTAGAAGGTCCTTTATCTCAACTGTCCTCATGTCCCATACATATCATCTCTCTATAATACAATAGGTCTTATAGATCTAAACATGATTTTTTTATATTTTTTGAAAAGAAAGATTAGATTAAAAACATTCATTTCTCTTCATTCACCTAGTAAGATTAGATTTCTCTGACATGTGATGTGATGAAAATTGATTGTTATATTGCATAATTTGGTGTGTGTCTAATCTTAAGCAGGTCAGACACTGTTTGAGGTAAGTTAAGCTTTGCTGAAAGTGCAGGCTGGTTGCTGGTGTGTTGAAAGGGTCTGAGAGCTGCTGGTGCTTTGTTTACTGGTTGTGTTGAGTGTACTTATGCTCTCATTTTGTTTGTTGGTTGTTGTTGTTTGTAGATTTTTCTGGTTTTGGTTGTGCTGTTTGGTTGGTGACTCTCCAACCTTGGCAGTGTGCTAGCAAATGATTGGGCTCGTATGGTGGTGCCAACCTAGTCGGGATTGCTATATTGAGCTGTGATGCCTCGATAAAGATTCTTTTTAGTTGTTATAATCATCATCAGTTGTTATAATCAATAAAGATTCTTTTGCTGATCTAAAAAAAGAAGAAAAAGAAATCATTTATTTTTCTAACTCTTTGGAGGTGGAATGCCCTGCTTTGATCTCAATACTCGCAACACTTGCTCACTAGATCTGTTTGTGTATTTACATGTGTATTGATGTATTTGGGCTTCTTTCTCATTGGTTCTCTCTGTTGGTAATTTAGTTGACTGACGAATGTTTTCCAGGTCAATCTGAGAACCCTGAAGTTAATGCAGAAAGGTCAAATGCTCAGCTTGACACAGGAGTTGGTATGGGGAAATTAGTGTTTTCCAGGTCAATCTGAGAACCCTGAAGTTAATGCAGAAAGGTCAAATGCTCAGCTTGACACAGGAGTTGGTATGGGAAATTAGACGATGAACATGAGGTGGTTTTTGGCCTTTCTTTCCTACAGCAGGTACTGCCATTTTGCTTTTTCTTTCACGAGTTTATTAGATTGATAAAATTTGAATTTTAACATATTAATTCTTTGCTGTCGTGCCTAATTTAGGAATCCTAGTCTCTTGGTTGCTAGGTTTCTTTTTCTTTTAAATAAAGTTTTCTTTTCTTTTCTTTTATTTTTCTTTGTTAATTTAGTAATACTTTTTCTATTATTACTAATATTGCTGGTATTTCCTGGGTTATTTTTTTTCTTGCATGTTAACACATTTGTGATGATATCAGGGTACTAGTATATCTCTGATCTTTTTGGCCTTTATTCTTTTATATTGTATATAAAGAATATTTTGGAAAGGGTTAAACAATCTGAGGTTGTTTGCTTGGCTTGAGGATGATTTGATGAAGTAGCAGGAAACTCCTAGGTTGACGTTTCTTACTCAAAAACTCAATTTAACGGTGCTAAGTAAAAGAGAAACCTGCTCCCGTA